TGACATCCGTCGTATTCGAAGGGCATAGTTGAATTATGCGCCAATTGGCGTTCTGTTGCACAACTTTCAATCAAGTATGCGCCTAAAGTGAAACAACCGACAAAACAGTGCAGAAACCGCCACCCGCAAACTCAGGTGCAATAATTGCAGAAATCCCGGGCACTCGCGGCAGGAATGCCGGAAGAGAAAGAAAGCTTACGAAACGGAAGCTACCGTACCCGAATAGTTGGATCACGCTTCTTTTCATCACGCACCTCCTGTAAGATTCTTCCATTCTCTTCCCTCTTTTTTGCACTTTCTTCATACCTCCTTCCTTTTACGCTTGCTGTCTTCGCGTTTAGATCAGGTCTGCTTGCCTCTCTAAAGAGAACAAATGAAGTCTGTACTCCCGGGCTAAATATGACAGACCCAAATGGTAAAGTGTCACATTAACTCCGTGATATACCAAAAACAGAAAATGATAATAACCGTACCGGTAACATGGTCTGTGAATGCCTATAAATAGAAGGGGCTCTAAATTGCACGAAGTACTGATTTGAGTCCCCAATATTAACAACCGAATTTTATCATAAACCGAAAACTTTCCATTTATTAATGGCCATCCAAATGAGCAGCGCATTATTTTAAAGACTGTCGCGCGTTGTTCTTTTGAGCGAGCAAATTGTTTGCGCTTGTTTACGAAAAAAGGCTATTATTGGAGTTAAGATCGGGGCGTTTGCACGGGGCAGCTCATCGACTCCCGAAACTCATCTGCAGACTTCGTTAGTTTCCAAGTTTCCAGTTAGATAAGCACATCTGGCGAGCTTCCAAGACTATGCCTTACATCTTATTCGGGTTACCAGAATCGCGTATGGTTTCGTACGTAGTAACGAACACTTTATTTAATAATTTACATTTGCTTATTTAGAATTTACTCGTTACATTGTTTACTAAAATAAATTTAATTGTCTGGCTAGCAGGGATATTTATTGAGTTCTTGTTTCCATAAAACGATTGCAAGTAGTAACGATCTTTGTAGTTTCGCGAAATTGTGTATCAGGAGCTAAGAGGTAGTCACTACCTTATAGGACTAATAATATTCGTACCAAAACACCATTTATTCAATGCTAGTACGAATAATACATAAAATACGAATGGTTATCGCCTGATCTGAAGGGAGTTACTTGGTGCCGCTGGTTACTGCTCAGTTTTTTTTACGCTGGGTCGTGGATTTCTAATGAATCTTATTTTTAATCTCACCAGAAAATGCCAAACCCGCTCCTATTATCGGTTAACGCATAAAACTCGTTCACCGCCAAATTCAATTTATATGTGAAATTTAAACGCTCAATCTTGAAACATTACATGTTTTTAGTATCAGGAGCACATAAGAAGCCAATAAGGATCAGACTGCACTTCTACGTTCCTGATTATCTTCATATTCATATTCAATCCACATACTTGCAACTGCCTACATTCGGCTTTCTGCACTTTTGCTCTTCAGCGCAATTAGGAATCCGGGGCTAACAAATAGCTGATGAATCCTGTAGTTTTTGGCACTTCTTCTGTCTCCAACTAGCGGACTTTCTGCACTTCTACGCTCCTGATTCTGTTCCATTTCTCTTAAGCAAAATTGAGTATCAGGAGCAAGTAGGTTCGTGTAATTCCTCGCACCTTATTGTTCCTAATGCAATGAATTTGTCTTCACATAGGATCTACTAGTAGGAGTGCAAAAGAAGTCACCGAGAAGGTCACCCCTCACACTTACAATTGCCTGCACCTCTCGGCTCCTGATTCTATTAATCCCTCTCCAGAAACAAGAGAAGACAAGTCAAAGAAATGGAGCAACAGAACACCGGCCTAAAATGTCTGGTAAAAAAATGAAATAATCAGAGATTTTTTTGAATTCCGGTAAAAAATTCAAAATTCCCAGAAGTTGAGATTAGAAAAATTTCAAAAAATTCTTTTACTCAAAAATGAGAAAATAAAATTTTAGATCTGTGGAATCTTTCCCATACCCGCCAAAAAATTGTTATAACTTGGATAAAATTGGGGGACGGGGCGATAAATTATGCGCCATGAAAATTACATTTGGCCCCTTGCAAGAATAGTATATTCGATCAGATTAGTTAGTGTCAAATTCCAAATCCGAGAAAGAAATTCAGAATCCTCGGGCAAATTCGGATTCCAAAAAATTTCGAGAAATTATTTTGAAGCAGCCCCCCCCCCCCCGGCTGTTTTCCAAAAACCATGACTAAGAAACTGATAAAAAATCAGAAATTTGCTATATTTAATCTAATTTTTGAAAAGGACATTTTAGAATTTGGTCACATTTTTTTTATTTCAGCAACAATTCAGAATTCTTAGAAAATTTTCAAAAATATTCCAAGAAAATCAAAAAGAATCTGTAATTCCAAATTTTAAAAAACAGGAATAATCAGATTTCTAAAATTTCTGGTAAAAAAATGAAATAATCTGAGATTTTTTCAAATTCCGAATCCGGGAAAAAATTCAAAATTCTCAGAAAGTGAGATAACAAAAATTTCAAAAAATTCTAAAAAGAAAGATTTTGTAATTCTTCTATTCAAAAATGAGATAAAATAAATTTTTGGATCTGTGGGATCTTTCCCATACCACCATAATTCAGAATCCTCAGACAAATTCGGATTCCAAAAACAGAGATTGTAATTTTTAATTTAAAAAAAAACCGGACAGCAAATTTTTGGTAAAGAAATAAAATTTTGGATCTGTGAAATGTGGTTACCCATAGCACCCAAAAAATTATTTCTGAGTAAAAATGAGGGATGGGGGAAAAATAATGCGCCACAGAAATTTAATTTTTGATTTAACAATTGTAATATCGAGTCAAACAAACAATGAGTTATTACTATTTTTTCCAAAGTCCGAATTCGAGAAGAAAGTTCAAAATTTGCCCTTTTTCTACATGAGAGAAGAGCGGGAGGGGGGGCTGTATTCCAAAAACCATGACTAAGAAACCAATAAAAAATCAGAAATTCTGCGATATTTAATCTAATTTTTGAAAAGGACATTTTGGAATTTGATCACATTTTTTTTTCATTTCGCCAACAATTCAGAATTCTTAGATAAATTAAAATTTCAAAAAAAAAATGTCAAGAAAGTAAAAAAGGTTCTGTAATTCGAAATTTAAAAAAAAAACGGGCATAATCAGGTATCTAAAATTTCTGGTAAAAAAATGAAATAATCAGAGATTTTTTCGAATTCCAAATCCGGGAAAAACCTCCAAATGCTCAGAAGTTGAAATTAGAAAAATTTCAAAACATTAAAAGATTTTGTAATTCTTTTACTCAAAAATGAGATAAAATAAAATTGTGGATCTGGGGAAACCGCCAATCAATTATTATAACTTGGATAAAATTGGGACACGGGGAGGATGCGCCATGAAAATTACATTTGGCACCTTGCAAGAATAGTATATTATGATCATATGATCAGATTCATTAGTGTCAAATTCCAAATCCGGGAAAGAAATTCAGGATCCTCAGACAATATAGGATTCCAAAAAAATTTCAAGAAATTTTGAAACAGAATTTGTAATTTTTAATTTTAAAAAAAACCGGACAGCAAATGTTTGGTAAAGAAGTAAAATTTTGGATCTGTGCAATCTAATTACCAATAGCACCCAACAAATTATTTCTGAGTAAAAATGAGGGATGGGGGATAAATAATGCGCCACAGAAATTTAATTTTTAGTTTAACAATTGTAATATCGAGTTAAACAAACAATGAGTTATTACTATTTTGTCCAAGTTCCGAATTCGAGAAGAAAGTTCAAAATTTGCCCTTTTTCTACATGAGCGGAAGGGGGGGGGGGGCTGTATTCCAAAAACCATGAATAAGAAACCAATAAAAAATCAGAAATTCTGCCATTTTTAATCTAATTTTTGAGAACATTTTGCAATTTGACCACATTTTTTTTCATTTCAGCAACAATTCAGAATTCTTAGATAAATGAAAATTTCAAAAGAAAATTTTCAAGAAAGTCTAAAAAAGATTCTGTAATTCCAAATTTGTAAAAAAAACAGGCATAACCAGATTTCTAAAATTTCTAGTAAAAAAAGTGAAATAATCAGAGATTTTTTCAAATTCCGAATCCGGGAAAAAATTCAAAATTCTCAGAAATTGAGATTAGAAAAATTTCAAAAAATTCTAAAAAGAAAGATTTTGTAATTCTTTTACTCAAAAATGAGATAAAATAAAATTTTGGATCTGTGGAATCTTTCCCATACCCGCCAAAGGATGGGGGGTGGGGGGGGGGGGGAGGGTTAAATTATGCGCCATGAAAATGACATTTGCCACCTTGCAAGAATAGTATATTCTGATCATGATGATGATGTATATGATTAATTTCAAATTCCAAATCCGGATTCAGAATCCTCAGACAAAAGACATTTTGAAACAGATTTTGTAATTCTTAATTTAAAAAAATAACCAAACAGCAAATTTCTTGTAAAGGAGTACAATTTTGGATCTGTGCAGTTTGGTTACCCATAGCACCCAACAAATTTATTTTAACCTGAGTAAAAAGAGGGATAGGAAGAGGGGGAGGGGGGGCTGTAACAGCAACCACCAATTTATTTTTAATTAAGCGCCGATATGGGCTTGTCGTAGAAGTTCGACGAAGAAAAACGTTAGCCCCCCCCCCCTGCATGCCGTCTTTAAAATTTAAAGTTTGAGGAACTTGGAAGCTAATAATGAATAAATCTCAAGTGCTTTAGACTCTTGTAAGCAACAATGTAACAAAATCTCAAACACGGCAATTTAAATGTAAATATGGATCATTAATAACAGCACTCCAGCCAAACACAAGAAGCCATTAAGCAATTCGGCTATCTAATCTACACCCATATAATAAAACGTTTGAAGAGCGCCGCGGTGGCAATTTCGTTTTATCTACCGCAGCAATAACAAACGCGCTCGCATTGATGTAGCGCCCTCTCGTGACGTCTCGACGGCTCATAATAAATTCAATATTCGCTTACCTGTAACTGGAGCCTCTATATCTATCATTGTCTTTTCTGCTCGTAGAAGTGCGGCGCCCTCGTTAATGATGCGAAGTGCGGCCGATTCGTCTATGCGGCCTTCCAATATAAAATGTTGCTTTAGTACATCCGGCCGTGGTTTCGCCGTTCGCGTGTCAAAAACTTCGGCCACTGTCAATTTATGACTCGGAGGAAACGGTACGGCTGTAACAGAAGAGAGTGAAGTGTGAGAGAGGTTTACGTTATTCGCGCGGTGTTAATATTTAATTTCCAATAAAGTTTTCTGAAGTTAGCTACGTGCCCTTATAAATTTTAATCCCGTAGGAGACGTGAATGACAGATAAGAGAATTCGCCCGGAATATATGATACAGACTTTGTAACAAACACACAAAAAGTGCGCAATCGAAAAAATAAACGTTAAGTTTTTATCCTCGAAAGGATCCGCAAAAGCGCGGAGTTGGGATGCGAGCGGATTGACTGGTACAACTGCCAACGCGGTTTGAAGATCCTCATTCCAATCCGATTTTTAGCTTCCTAGCTCGAGCCAATTGCGATCACCGTTTTTTGCACAAAAAAAGTTCCAACAACGGAGGGCTCGGCCCGTGAGAACACGTATCATCAAACTCATCGACTATCAGATATCAGTTTCAGTGGATGATTGATTAGGGTTTACTGCACCTTCACAAGCGTGACGAATTGGGGTGTAGCGGTCATTTCTTTTGTGAGCTACGACAACCAGTTCCCTAACTTATATTTTGTTAATTATTTACATACAGGGTGCAGGGGATTATTTCGGAAATTAGCGGTGATAGAATAATAATAATAATAATAATGACTTTTATTAGCTACTTGCATACGACGCAAAAGAAAAACAAATTCATATCAAAAAATGATTTATATTAAATATTCTTCATATGGTGGGGCCCCACTTAATGATGTTTGTCCATCTTCGTTTTCGAAACTTGATTTAACCTCAATGCAGAATCACGTATTTGATACCGTTAACCTTTATCTTTTGAAATCGCGTTCATTTTTGGTGTAAATGCTGAATTTGTTACATATTTTTGGCCCCAAGTTAAATTTATGTTTTTGATCATTCCTTCAATCATGTAGAAGTTATCGAATTGTTTGAAGGCTTTTCGATATCGATACCAGTCCGTTTACTGTGTTGAAAATTAGTGGTCTTCAATTCCGCTTAAAAGGCACCAAATGAATCCAAACCGTGTGCGGTTTAAGACAAGTTCAAACGTGCGTAAAATACGCTTAATCCCATTTGCGGAAGGTCACGTTTGAGCGTAAATAACGGACAACAGCACAGACGAAATTGCTTCGTCGCCAAACCGCGATTGTCATCCGGGGCGCGGGCGACACACCGAAATTAATGACTCGAAATTATTTAACAGATACCGATGTGATAAAGTAGACGCAATTAAGGCCGAAAATGTTGCTGAATGAATACCGAATTGAAATTAACGAGAAAGTTATCGATTAACCATTTTTTTGGACACCGACCGAATTAAATCTAATTGACTTTTTTTAACTTCTCATTGATTCGGTTAAAAATAAACGCGACGGTTAGTTCGGTGGTAATTACACACGATTTATAAATACAAGTCTAAAGCTTCGCGGTTGTTTTTGTAACAGAAAATAAAAAAATGGATGCAACAGTCTTCACGAGAATAAATTACAGCGGAATATTGCACGAGTTATGTAACATTTATATAAACGTGTAATTTAAAATTTAAAGTAACATTGAAGTTATGTGCACAATGTTCTTATATTTTTTACTACACCTGTGTGGGAAAAATCATTGATTCTTTAGCAATATTTTCAGAAATATTGTCGTTAGAAAACTCCTTGGAAATTTGAAAATTTTCCAAAAATCCTCTTTAGAGAACTTCGTGAGAGTTTTCTTAAAAACATTCCTTAGAAAGATAGTATGAACAATGATACCCTTCAGAATCTTCTGAGAAACATTTGAAATCATCTGAGAAGAAACCATCAGGGAAACTGAAAGAGTATATAAGATTTCCTAAGAATTTTACTGACATTCTTCATGGGAAATTGATCCGCTAGGCGACTCAGAGCGTTATCTAAGGACAGAAAGCATCTTTAAAAATTGGGGGATCATGATCATATAATTGGAAAATATTGTAGGCCGTGCATTCATGATGCAATTTGAAGTTACACTTTTTTGTGATTGAACGAGGTACAGTATATAGAATCCAGGATCGAGTAAAAATATAACTTCCAGAATTCATGTCCCAGATCCAGGATACACAATCCAAAATCCAGATATCGTATTCAGAATCCAGGATCGGTTAACCGAAATTGGAGACTGTATCCAGAAACCATAACTGAACACTCAAAATTCAAAATCAAAAATCTATAGCTAAGAATACAACATTCAGAATCCAAAATCCACATTCTGGCTTTCGGGACCCAAAATTCAGAAGCTGGGATTCTAAACCAATAGAATTTGGATTGAAATATCCATACTGGAATACAAAATCCGATTTTTAAATTCAAAATGCACGATTCAAAATCTAAAATTAAGATCAAAAATCTGGAGCAAAATTCAAAATCCAGGATTGAACATTCATTGTCCGATATTGAATGTCTAAATCTAGGAACACTAGAGGTTTTTCGGCCCTTCCAAGATTCTTAGTGGCATAGCCATTTTTTCGACTCCAATCTCGGTTTTCGCTACTGATAATAAATGAATTTTATTTGTGTGAATTCATGAAGTCGTGTGTTTATTCGAACCCTTTAATGATCCAGATAAATGTCCAATGCTCAATTATGATTAGTTTGTTTCAAGTGGCTTTAAAATTTGTGTAAGTAATCCATTTTGAAAATAAGGAATTTGATCGCGGCCATTATTTAAATTTTGAAGTCGAGATTGAATTTTTTTGCGCATTTTTTAAGAATTAAAAAAAATTTGCTATTATTTGCGTTTTGTCCGTCCGGACCCACTTCTGCCGTTGCGAACTACTTCTAGGGGAATGGTCTTAGTCCTGGAATTTTTTGCATTAGGTAGCCTATACCTTGAAGGTGTGCCAGACGGCAGTTGTCTAAAAGCCCCCCCCCCCCCCCACGAATTATTTCCTGAGATGCTGTTTTTGAAAGTAAAACGTGCGTAAAACATACAACCAATTTTAGATTTTGCATACGCATGCCCTTAGTGGTAGTTAAACTTTATAAAATGGGGGGGGGGGGGGGGGGTTAAACACATATTCTACCCTTCATGGTATTCTAATGAAAGGTCTCATCGAAATAAATTGGTTTGTACAAACTATAACTTTCCCGTGTGGCTCTTTTTCGAGATCAGTGAGCGACGGGGCCGGGGGGGGGGGGTGTAACTAGTTTTATCCTTCATGGTACTCTAATGAAAGGTCTCAACGAAAGGAATCAATTTTTACCAACCATAGCCCTCCTCCTCGACCTCTTATCGTGATCGGGTATATTCCCTTATACCTCTCAAGAACGGATTGTCGGAAGAGGGTACTCACAAAGGGCTTTACCTGCACAAGAGTTGTGCACAATTTATACTTGTTTTATTGTGCCGAAATTCGGATGTGCTACAAATTTAATAAGAGAGCTAGGAAGGTTTAAGGTGTCTTGTGTATGGTTCATTTTGGCCGGGCCATTGTAGTTAATGGTCTGCGAAGTTGTCAGCGTCAGTCTGACGGGCGATAAAACAATTTTAATGTCTTTTACGTGATCAAAACAGCTAATTCCCCGTGTACAGGTTAGGTGTATCAAAAAAATACTCCACTTGATCCCTCAGTTTATGCTTGCATCATTAACCTCCACTGACATGCTAAAGCTACAAAAATTGTTTGTTATATATCTATTGTAAGAATTACATTCTATGGAGGTCCTCAATAATGAAAAAGTAAAATGTCAACGCAACCCCTTTTTGATAAACGTGCCAGTCTGACTGGTCAATTATGCGCGATTCTGCACAGAAGGGTCATATGGAGCAGCGCAAACTAAGCGATCTTGAAATCTTATGAGTTTTTGATAGATGGAATTTGTACGCCATGGATTGGGTTAAGGAAACGAAGTCGGTTGGTGAAGGATTAAAGATGGCCGCTTAAACCTATTAGCGCATTTGTAGGCGTGTTAGAAAATTAAAAAATAGTAGGGACGCGTCCAGGAGAGATAGCAGTAGGGCAGTCGGTTTTGGGCCACAAGAGCGTAAAGTGCGTGGTCCGCATTAACAGTTTTTCGGGGGAAAACCACATTACTTAAATTAAAGTTAGTGCAATGTGGAAGTGTCGCACGTGAGGCAATTAAAAACAAAAAAACAATGCGAAAATATTTAACGTAGTTAGTTATGTCGCGAACGCAGAACTTTCGTTGGGCGATAAATCAACTGGACATATTTGAACCCATTGAGACAGGATATCGTTGAAAATCAGTAAAAATATTCGGTAAACACAGATTTACTATTTAGAACTATTGGAAAATTATAAAAGTAGGAGCGGACTTTCCAGGTGAATAAATCAGAAATTAAAGAATTGTACTTGGAAAGCGAAAGCTTAAATACAAACTAAATCAGTTTCGATTTGGCCTTGTAATGAGCTATATTGCGAGAACGAGAAGTTGATTGAAACGGTTGGATGCCCAATAAATTGCACACGAATGTGTGCCTAATCGTACAAAAAATCCAAGAAAACCTTAGCAGTATTTCTTCCGGAGGTCATCCTTTCTAGAAAGGTAGTATTGATGTGCACCATACGGAAACCATCGATTCCAGAAAACGCTATAATTAAGGTACCGAAATTCTTTTTGATTTGTATTCAAAATAACTATCGGTTCTCTTTAGGAAATTAAATTAAATTTCATTAAAAGTAATCAGAAAAATTCTTAAAGAAATCGATCTTCTTCAATCTAAATTTGCTGAATGGAGCAGAATAGCATCGTATTTGAAATCTTATCAAAATGCACCTTTTTAGTCTTGAATTTAGGTTTCACACTATTTTTAATAAAACGCTTGCATGAGAAATTAAAAACTGCAAACCACCCCATATCCAAAAGTGTGCCAAACGAAACAACATATTTCATAGGGCTACGAAGACGAATTTTCCGCATTTCCTTTGAATATCGCCCCTGGAAATTACGCCGTTTAACATATATAGATTTCGGTTTGATAAGGTCTGCGTCTTTACATATTTATGCCGGCTGGAAATATTTC